GGTTGTCATCTCCTTTCCGTCTTCTCCGTAGGGGTCGGTGGAAGCAGCAGCGACTCCGACCTCCCCTCTTTCTTCTTCGCAGGCGCGGAGCTACTCAGGAGCCCACATGGGAATAGTCTCGGCCCCTAGGATCGTAAGAATATTTAGATAAAATTTGTGCTGCTCGACCTATATATTGTGTCATTTAACAATCATGTAGTCTACTGGTAGCTAAACTAAACTTTTAGCCTAAAGCAAATAGGTTTGATCCACAACTACCTCATTTTTGCTTTAACTTCTTTTTGGACTTTATTATCTTAATTCTCTGGACCAAAGCAAACGGATACCCACTCATTTTCATTCATTTTGTTACCTTAATCCAGCTACAAATGAAAAATCAACCTCTATTTAGTTCACTTGAGATTTTTAGCTCTTTATACAAACTATATGATCTATTTTTTTTATCCATGTCGGAATGAACAGAAAGATTAGTGTCAAAGGAATTTTATTTTGTTGATAGGTTGATTTGCCTTCTTCTAACTCTTCCAAATTTCTAAAGCTACATGTGATCGTGCATGTTTTCAGGTAAAAAGATAGTGAAGAATAGATTGCGAAACCAAATAAATGATGAGTTTCTTGTTAATGATTTAGTTATTTATATTGAAAGAAATATAGCTAGAAAATTTTAGTTCAGATGCTATTTTGAGAGGTTTAAATGATCTCAAAGAATGTTGTAGATATTTTTATTAACATTTATCTATTTTCGGCCCACCCGGTCTCGAAATCCTGGCTCCGCCCCTACTTCTTCGGCCTCCTCCTGGTTGACAGCGAGCATGGTGAGCGAATCGACGGCGGTAGCGGGCAGCGGCTCCGACCTCCTTCCTATCCAATGTCGGGATGGTTCTGGCTTCGAATGCACTATGCACACTAGTGTGCTTGTTTCAGGTGGATCTTGTGAAGTACTATAATTTTCAGAGAGTCGGGGAATCACCAATTCACCATTGAGTATTGTATTTGGCATATAAGGTCCTAGACTCAAAATGAATATTACTGTCAGTGGCGGAGGCAGCATTTCAAACCACCCCTGTCCTTTTTCATAACTTAAATATATAAGTATCTAATAAATAAAAATAATTAAAAATAATTATATCCGAATAATTCATTCATAAATTAAAAATACCGATTATACAATCATACTTTTCAGAAATAACTACAAAGGAATTTCATATAGTGAAAGAAACGGAAAAATATTTGTTGTCTACACTATTATATAAGTCTTTAATGTATCTTAATAAATAAGTATTAGCAAACTGATCTATAAATCGACTTGGAAACTTGTTCTTAATATAACTCAAAGTTGAAAATGCTTTTTTTACACTTGCAGTTGTAATTGGTAGATCAAAACTAGTGGGATTGCCGTTGTCACTAGATAATTTCAGGGTTGTTGGGAAAAAAGATCGAATAGGCATAAGGAAAAAAGAGACCTTATTAGGTCTTTATTGCAATTGGAATTTCGTTTATAGTACAATAAATTAATTTTATGTCAATTTTGGACAAATAATAAGTTGTGTTGTAGTGACAAAGTACTTTAACACTACCTATAGGTGTTGTGTTCCATCACCAATATAAATATATATGACGTATTTTTTTCCACCGAAATTTACCCCTGTCCCGGGACAAGGCCCAAAGAGCCTGCCTCCGCCACTGATCACTGCGAAGGAGGCGGGTTAGCGTCGGAGGGAGGGAATGGGGGTAGGCGGCGTGAGGGAGGTGGGTATGCCTGCGGGAGGGTTTTGGGTAAGCTGAGTTTAGGTTTGAATTGGGGTCAGGGGTGTAAGTGTCATTTTGGTACGTTTTAGAGCGATAAAATTCAAATTTTAGGGCGAAAAATAGCGATTCACATCAATAAAGTTTTATATACCATACTATTGACAAAAAATATTGGTAGATCGACGATACATTGTACATTTCAAGAGTAAATAAATAATAATGTTATTTTATTTGTAAATGGTCCAACAGGATAATTAGTGATGACAATTTGAATACGCACCGTGAGTATTACTCGATCTGAACCATAATGAAACGGGTATTAGCATTACTCGACCCACAGTAGCATGGGAGCAGCCGAGCAGGACATGTGTATCTACTCCCGACCCGAATTGTCCCATTTTTTGCTTATTCTATATCAATTTCGTATAGTATCTATTCATATTTTGATTAAGTAGTTGATAGTGAGCGATCGGCTAAGGAGGATGTTTTAGAATCCGAGCAAGACCCTTTGACGTCTTTGTCTTTATCTCAAGACAGTGCAATCGTTGCTCATCGTCCACACGCCCCTATTTTGGCTTTTCTTCAACTAACTATACTCGATATTTCAACGAGTTAGACTCAATTACCCATTTTATTATCACTATTTTCATTCATACAGTGTTTCCCCCTTCGTTTTATCATAAAAAGTATAATTTTATGTGTATTTTTTTCAAACACCATATAAGAGTGGGTCGACTCGACCTGCCTCGTAGTCGTGCAGATATTACTAACCCCGACTCGCAGGAGCATGGGTATTTGTGGCAAGGACGGAGCTACATTAACACCCCCCCCCCCCCCCCGGATTGGCCAGTCCTTGGGATCGTAACAATTTTTATAAGTAGAACTTAAATTTGTTGTGTAATAATCATGTGGTCGAATGGTAGCGAAGCTTGACTTATGTCTTAAAGCACATAGGTTCAATTCACCTTAGCCACTTACATTTTGTTTAATTATTTTCGACCCCCGGGTCTCGAAATCTTGACTCCGCCCCTGTATTAAGGTACTCGCCCCCCGCCTGCCCTATTGCCATAACTACGAATAATCTATAACCCTTAAACGATGAAGGTATAATCATTTACGCTCTCATTTGATCTTAAATCTAAATCACTTTGGTCGTGGATTATAATCAGTCACATTTTATAGTATACTATGGGGTTAATTGCATGGTTGGACAATGAAATTACAAAAAACGTTCAAGTTTGGTCACTCAAAATATTTAAATCCATTGGTGGTACTTTAGTTTACTGAAACCGTTCACGTTTGGTCACTCTCCGTCCAACTCCATTAACTTTCGCTTACGTGGCTGTCAACTCTAAAATGGCCATCTCATTTCCACCTCATATCACTTTTATTTAAAATAAATAAAAATCCTAATTTCTTCTAATTCCCAATACCAAACCCCACCGGCAGCATACCCCGCCGTTAATTTTCTTGACTGGCGTCGTAGGATTATTGACCACCGCACGTCTGCATCCTCTGCCACCACGTCGTATATCAACGGAAAGCTCTCCCAATTGCGTCCCCAGCAACACCACCACCAGCAGGGAAGACAACAACTACAACAGATCACCCACTACAGCCACCACCGGAGAAGTTTCGACTGCCACGAATTGGGCGGCGGCGTGCCACGAATTTCGTCGACGAGGAAGTCCGAAGCATACCACTACCACCACCGGCTGTCGCTCTAGCTCAACACGGAGAACATGACGCCCAGCGAGAAGCTGGTGATCTCGCGGATCAAAGCTCGGCTAAACGAGAGAGAATTGAAGCCGGAGGAAGAGATCAGAAGTCCGAGGCAGTACGCGAGGCAGATTGTAAAGCAGGTGAAAGAGCGTTAGTAGGAGAGTCGGTTTGGACATTACCAACTCTGAATATCTCCCAGATACTTCTCCTCGACCTCCACCCTAGGCTCCTTCCACCCAATCGAGTACTGAATCTTGTAAAGATTCCCTGCACGATGAGGAAACTCCGTCTCCACCGCCGGCACCTCTTCCATCGCTCCACCGTACCGGTTGAAAAAGAACCATGTTTTCCCCGACTCCATCATCTTCGCCGAAATCCCTTCCAAGCTAGCTTTCAGGATCGGTGTCACAACGTAGTCCGATTTCCTTGATCGATTGCAGCTCCCTGTTCAACAGGCCCGCCGTGTTATTCTCGTCGTCTAATACCCACTATAGAAGAAATTAGGATTTTGTATTTATTTTAAATAAAAATTATATGAAGTGAAAATGAGATGGCAATTTAAAAAAAATTAATTTTATTAATTTTAAATTTCCACGTCACACATTTAACGGTCAACTTTTAGAGTTGACCACCACGTAAGCAAAAGTTAACGGAGTTGAACGGAGAGTGACCAAATGTGAATGGTTTCAGTAAACTGAAGTACCACCAATGAATTTAAATATTTCGAGTGACCAAACTTAAATGTTTTTTGTAATTTCAGTGACCAACCATGCAATTAACCTGTAAACTATACTATGTGTTAAGTGTCCGATTGAGTAGGCACTGAAATCTATCCATGAATTGTTAATTTATGTTTGGTCTCTCCATCGTTGACCAACCAATGTTCTCGAACTATAAACGTCTGACTGACCCGACATTAGTTCTTCATTCTGAAACCTTAAATTAACCATCAATTTGTTTAGATCTTAATGGCTCTTAGTGGTCGATAGCACGTTGGTATTTTTGGCCACCATTGGCGCCAGCCAAGTCAAGTCCGTCTTTGCTTCTTCCGCCTGCTTAAAAGTTAGTTCAGAATATAATATGCAAGTGAACTATATAATAATGTCCCAAAATAGCAAATTGTAGGTAAGAAAAAATAAGGTAAATACAATATATTAGCCACAACTATTATGAAGTGGGGAATTATAGTCATAACTATGGAAATTCAAATTATTAGCCAAATGTTAACCGTTTGTTAACAATTTCGTTAGTAATACTGACTAAACTTTTATGTTTTAAAGTTATAAATTAAAAGCAATCCAACGTGCCTGTTGCCGTTGCCGTGGCCGATGACGTGATCTTCTCCGTTAAAAATTCAATAAAAGTAATGGACAGTTAGCCATATCTTGACCCGTAACAATAGTTATGGCTAATAATTTGAATTTTCATAGTTGTTGTTATGATTCCCGACTTCATAATAGTTGTGACTGATATATTGTATTTAAAAAAAAAACGATAGCAAGTTGCTTTCGTCAAAACTAGAGAAAATTATTCAAACAGAACGACCAGTTTCTACCGATCGCTATTCGTGACGATTTGTTAATAACTCATACCACAAAATTGATCCATAATAAACCAATCCATCCTGACTCGTGATCTCGCCTTACCCTGCTCGTTCAATCATATGATGAAATTAAGAAATCTCTAGAGCATTTGAGATCTGCCCCAAGGATGGAAGAGCTAAAACAAAGAGAAGCCACAGCAAACAGAAAGGGGAAAACTTGGGAGACAAGTGACAAGTAACAGGTAGTGTTCAAGGGGAGGCTCCATAAAACAGCAATGGCGAGAATGCTACAGTTCCATTGGACGAACAAGTCAGCAAACCAAAGCATAGCAAAGGACTAAGCGGCAAATTTCAATAGGTTGCCAACAATGAAATAAATTTCTGACATCATAGCTTGGCAATGAGGGGATGTTGGATAGGCTTTGTTGGAGTTACAGCGTCTTTGAGCTCGCAATCGCCCGTACTTGGAGGCACATCCACCGCCGGGGAGCAATTAAAGAACCCATGTGGCTGCAACAACATTCCCACAATTTCAACAGAAAAAGCGAGCTATACATCCGACTGATTTGAATTTGTATTAAGAAAATGACCAATTGTTGCAATAAACTTTCTGACTTACCATGAGCATGAAACCGACGTGCTCCACTGGCATGACTGGCCAATCTTCCAATCGAGGATGTGTGTAACTCCAAACACATACCTGCAAAACGTATATGATATAGAAAACAGTAAGAACATTGATGAAATGTTGCATCTCTGTGAGGGAGAGAGGAAACTGACCAAAAGAACAATGTTAGTCTCTTCAACGATCGATTCTGCTTCACCCAAGTGGCCAATCCCTCCCCTGCTCGCGGGTTTTGATTAGGGAACTCTCCTCCAGGATACATTTCGTCCCGTGCATAAGGTGTAACCCAGAGGTTATGCTTCAAGAAGGCAGCCCTTCTAAGGAACTTTGCTTCTGGCCTGGCTAGTGGTAGGCAGTTCGATCCAGGCACTAGTTTGTAGCCTGTGAGTTGGCGGTTCGGTTTACAGTTCTAGTGTTCCTGATCTGGTCAAAAGGTCGTGAACTAGGATCAGGAGCAAGCAAAAAATCATAAGAAACTGAAAGGTGACTTGATCATGTTTTATATTACTCACAATCCAATGGCGGGCAGAAGAGAGAGGATTGCAATCACGCATTGCCTGTGATTCAGTCCTGAGAAGTTCCTCTTCTGGGTAGAAAGCATTGTTGTGTACATTATCTTTTCCGGGCTCTTCAACTTTAACATTCATTTCGAACGACCTACGTGTAAGGAAAGAAAGAAGTGAATAACTGATCATCGATACTCTACAAAACTTCGGATGATTTTAATGTTAGGCAAGTTATACCTGATTAAACGCTTCACCAGGCTTGCAATCAACCGCCATATCCATACGTGCCACAAAAAAGTGTTGATGGACTGGTGCATACAATCCAGGGGCGATCATGGTCCCATATTTCCGAGCTTCCCCAGGTTGTAATGCTCCTAGACTCAGAACTCCGGTGAGCTTTACCTCAGCTTCAATCTGCCATCCTGTTAAGTATATAAACTATTAGTCAGGACATAATCCCAAAAGCAAGCAGCATTGTTGAGCAATCATACCCTAATAATGGTGGACTTGCCTGATAAAAGTGCCAGAAGAATCCATACTCATAGTTAGCCACTGTGCATACGAAAGACACAGTTAGCCTCCTGGATCGACGGACTTCCGCCAAACCAGTTCTCCAATCCTGATGCTTCCATAAGATTCCATGATCCTCTTCATGCAGACAAACACAGTTCTCAATCGTTTCAACACCTCCTGTGAAATTTGTGAAATGCGCATCAAAGTACTTTATGTAACCCAGACAGTCGCAGCCCTGTGGATACATACAGCAACTTAAGGTGTCAGTAGACTGTTTAGTTTCATCAAGAGAGTCAACAATCTAATAGGAGCAAGTGCTTACAAGCAAAGTAACTCACTTTCTTGAGAGAATGTGCATTTTTTCCCTAACCCATCTTCCCCAGCATCAAAAGCATTCTTCCTGTAATGCGGATCGTTTGGGTCACCATAAGGGACAACCATCTCAACGAAACTGAGTCTATGTGCCCACAGGTCTTCTCCCTTGACTTCCATCAAGATAAGCGACAGAATATATCACTAAACCCTCTCTTGGAGTGAAGCCAATCCGAAAATTCCACTGAGAGTAAAAATATAAAGTTTAATATTTTGAATTTTTGATAATGAGATAATGTGAATTTATAGACAAGCAAATGAACTGCATGAGCACCTTCTGCCAATTGACAAAGTGGCCACTGACGCGGAAGCTTGGACCTTCAGGCTGAATAATCTGCAGAGGTTTCACATCACTCCTATCAACACCACCACGAGTTTCCCCAGCAGTGTAGTTTCTCAAGGGATCGGCTGGCGGTAGAGGGACAAGTTTACGGTCCTCAAATTCAATCACTACCATGTTCTGCATATCAACAAGAACATGGATTCCTTCGACAGGACGAGCATATCCATTGTCCAAAGGACAGTCACTCTCAGTTCTGCAGAATATTAGTGGCTTAGCAAGCCTACGCCTAGGTGCATCAGCTTCACTGTGGTACCCAACGCACCTGCAGAAGTCAAACACCATAATCGTTTCCACCGATCAGAACACATGTATTGTAAAGCACCATTCTCTATAAAAAAACTAACTTACCAAGGATCCACCATGACAAGATCCATATCCACAATGCCCCTCTTTCTCATAGCCTCTTGAAACGGTGGGTAGTCTTTTACCACAGCCTCACATTCAGCATACTCCTCAGCGTCCTAAAAGCACAAAGCAAAGCGGGAGAAAAAAGTGAATCACTGCAAATAGTATGGAACAAACAAGGCCTAGTTCCAAAAATTTGACTTCCGATGTTCTGAGTACCATTGGAGGTTGCACATCCGGAACAACTTTGGATGAAATGACTTTGCCCCTGTGATGGCCGCCTCTAGTTGCTGCATGAACTTCACTGAGCTCAACTGTCCATATGCTCGTCTCGTTCGACTTCTTGTTGTAAACAACAAGCCTGGCTTGTCTAGGAGGAAGCTTTGTGGGGATCACTGGCCTGCCTTTAGTTTTGGGAAGCAATGAAGGCTGGAACGGAGGGAAGTAGTATGCATCCGCAAGGGCAACAACATTCTTGTCTGGCTCCACAAGAACCACTTCAATAAATCGCATGCTATCCCTCACCTGATCATAAATTAAACCAAAGTTCTGCCAATGTGAGCAACAGCTTCCAAGAATGAACTGAGGGAAACTAAAATTAAACCGAGTAAAGCAAAACCTCAGGGGTTTTTCCCAGCTGCTCTCACAGTAGCCACAGCCACAGCTATTTCAGCAGCCATTAATGGATCCAGTGGGTGGCATGTCTGTGCCCTAGACATAACTGGGAAACAAATGAAACAACCAAAAAGATCAAAACTTTCAGCAGATCCAACAATAACATGCAAAACCCACCTCCAAATTCTCCTATAATTGATGATTATGATGATCAGATGGGAGGGGTTCGAAGTTTCGATCATTGATACCTGGAGTGGCGGCAGTGGTTTTGGTAGTAGCAGAAGGAGCAGAATCAGAGAGGGAATCGTGGATCAGGGTCGCCATCGCTGCTGCAGAACTCTTGCTGCTGATGGGATTCTCAGAAGCTGTTTGAGAAAGCGTCGCCTTTTCCTGAGCTGTGGCCATTCTGAAGGGTTAGAGAGTTCGCCGTATTCGCCGCCGTAGCTATGTTTCTCACCACCACTATAGTATTTCGCTGACATACAGCAAAAATTTGGGATTTCTCTTCTCTTCCGGAGAAGTTCGTTCCTCCTCTACTTCTCTTCTCGGTTTTCTTTTTCCACTTGGATTGATGATCGCTTTAGACGGGCCGCTATAACAGAGAGACGGGAGTGGGAGGGTCTCTCTCCAGAGGAGGAATTCTTCCGTACAGCCGGCGCACATCCTACGTGGTGCACCTATCCAGTCAATGATTTACACGTGTCCAATTATTTCATATTAGAATTTTGTGGAATAAAAATTCTTATTTCTACGCCCAAGGTCTGGTACATGGCAAGGAATTTCTGAGTAATAATCGCCTCTCCCACAGTCCACAGATGGTCTTTGAGCCAAATTGTTAGAGTTAGACTTGGATCACATCTTCTACACAGTTTGTATATATTTAGCTAAATTCAGGGATGGGTTAGCATGCTAACCTTTAAGGGTTGGAAAAATGACACCCCTTGTTAATTGGTCAATTTTTCATTAATTATTGACTAGTATTAATGAAAGTAATCATAGTAAATATTCTGTTATTAAATACAACGTAAGCATTAAATACACCACATTAATTATTTGTTTTTTAAAAAAAATCTAAACATATACAAAAATACAATTATCTCTCTCATCTTTGATCTTTCTCTCTCCTATCTCTATTCTTCCTTTCCGAGCAGCCTCCAACCACCAAGTTTCCTCCGACCACCACATTTCGCCGGTAAAATCCACCGACAGACTCTTTCCGGTCACATGCGAAAATATACCACTGCACTGATATGTTGTACCACTGTACTAGTATTTGTACCACTGCACTGATACTCATATATGACATTGGTACCAGTGCAGTGGTATAGCTACCAGTGTAGTGGTACAACGTATCAGTGCAGTGGTATACTTTTTGCAGGTGTTCGGAGGAAGTCTGCCGATGAGATTTTCATCGGAGAAGTGTGGCGGTTGGAGGAAGTCTGGTGGTCAGAGGCTGCTGAAAAAGGAAAAATCAGATATAAGGAGAGAGAATATATTTAGTGTAGGTTTTAATTTGAAAAAAAAAAGATAATAATTAATATGGTGCATTTAATTCCTAATATGTATTTAATGTGTGTATTAAATTCTATATTTGTATTTAATACACTATGGGGTGTCATTTTTCTAACCCTTAAGGGGTTAGCATGCTAACCCATCCCCTAAATTCACCGTCCATATGGAATCCTTCTAGCAACAATGGTGGCAATATAGGTGAGTTTAGTGGTCGATAGAGTAGAGGGTACTCTTATCGATTTTCAATAATGTGTACGTTTTCACATGAGAATTTATTATTTCCATCCTTTTTAGGATGTTCGGAATAATGGAGTCAGAATACACATCGAGACTTTGTTGCTATCTTTCGCCGCACACTATCCATATATAATCAGACACCGACGAAAAATATATGGCCTGGTGAAAAATTAACTCTGAGAATTGAATTGATTTCATAGGTCAGATATTGTTATTCATGATAAGGCACAACTAAGTTAGGTTCAAGAAAAATTTTAATTGGTTGGATTGACTTGATAAATCAGCGCTATTCCAATACACAATACAATAAAAAAAAAAGAACAATCAGATAATTATCATAAACTATCACACAACTTATCACTTATTAAAAAACAATCACTGAATAAAGAGGGAAAATAACTTATGGAAAGATCCACTTGTCTGGGAAGAGTAGTGCTAGTGGAAGAGTACAAATGAAATATTGGCATGGGCGTGGGAAAATGACTTATAGTAAGACGCACTTGTATGAAATAGATAGATAGTGACACATATATATTTTTTTCTATAGATATGTTAAAATGAAATATCAAAATGTGAATATATACATTATTTTTATAGATCAAAATGAAGAAGAGAAAGAAAAAGTGTTCATGTCAACAAGATATTGAATTAATGATGAAAAGACTTGTATTGTCATAATATTTAATATGGATAGTTCTAATTGTATTTACGATGTGCGAAATAAAATGAAAAACTTTTTGGTTCTCTTTAATTTGAATTATTTTATTTGGTCAAGGTAATTTTTTAGCATTTTTTTGTTCTCTTTAATACGATATAACATCATGCATAACTACATAATCATTCTATATACGATATCATATTTGTCGAAAACTCAATGTCTTATAGATAGAGCCGACCTGAAACCATGTTCTGAAACCAAAAAGTAGCCCAATTTATTTTGGGTTAATACCCTAGTTTGGCACGAAGTTTAGCGTAAGTGTTAGTTCTCGCCTCATTTTTCAAATAAGACATTTATGGACTACTTTTGAAATTATAAGACATTTATACCCTAGTTTGGCACGAAGTTTAGCGTAAGTGTTAGTTCTCGCCTCATTTTTCAAATAAGACATTTATGGCCTACTTTTGAAATTATTAGACAGATTTGGCCCGAAACTCATGTTGACTATTAATATTAACGGTCAAACATTTGTTCAGTCAATGACTTAATATCTAGTGCTAAGGTGGCATCCATGTCACTTATTAATTAAAAATAAAAAATAAATTTAAATAAATAAAATCCCTCAATCTTCTCTTCCAAATCATCTTCCAATCCGCCTCCCAAGTCTCACCTGTCCAGCTCCGCTCTGGCGACATCTTTCCTTAGAAAAATCCATTATCTTCCAATCGGACTCCCAACTGCCCAGCTCCGCTCTCGCCACTTCCTCCAAAACCTTGATGACTGAACCTTCATCATCTTCCCCTCGTGCTCTATGGCTTCGTCCCCTCGTGCGCTGGGAATTGATCGAGACGGAATCCAGATCCAGCGACCCTTCCTCGTCCCTTCCAACTCCATCGCTGCAGCGACCGTCGTTACGCAGGTGGTGTGGTGGAAGTCAATCGTCGTTGCAGCGACCCCAACTGCAGCAATAAAAAAAGCTCGATGAAGCGATCTCCCAACTTTAGAATGATAGTTGATTGGACATATGATTGATGAAACAAAAAAAACATATTTTTATTAATTGAAAGAGTAAAGCAAACACAACTAAAACAAAAAAAAAAATACAAAACAATAACTCAATTAAAAATGAGCCAGTTCACTAAAGTAACCAAAATAGGTGACGGAAACTCAATTGAAGCGAATAGTAGAAGTTTTTTAAAAGAATCAAATATCATATTAAAAGAAGAAGATTTATTAGAAGAACATGATTTAGCTTTTGAATTCTTGAGTCTAAAAAATTGATGCGGTTGCTAACTATGCATAATAAGTATATGTTAGAAATAATCGTTTTCTCATCTTTTCTTTTTACCAATGCTCCAAATGAAATGAGAGATAGTTGCTACAAATAATTAGGAAATAAATAAAAAAATCTTGTTTATTGATGAAGGGAGGGAGTGAGTAGTCCATTCCTTATCGTCCTAGATGCAAAACCTCTAAGGATTATCTAGGTGATTTGTTGGTATTTGCAGAAGGGACATAGCATAGATGGAACTAAGAGAATGCTGAAAGAGTTCTGCTGTTTATCTTGTCTACCATGTGATCCAATGAAGAGTGAATTATTTTGTGGTGGGTTGTCTAATTCTTTTATTTTATCTCAGATAAGCCCAGAGCATGGTCGAACAACAAAATACAAAACATATAATGATAAAGAACGATAATCCATATGCAACCGGATTCTTGATAGCCTGTTATGCCACAAAGTGGGCAACTCTGAAGAAAGTACCAAGGAGCGAAAAGACACGAAACTTACATGAAGGGCAGGAAGAGAGAGAAAACTTCCCTGAAAGTGGCTCCTGCTCCGGGAAGACTTCCTCGATGTAGGATCCATGTTGGCCGGTTGAGAAATCCAGCAATATGTAACAATTAATACATTATGAGTAAATCACACACCTCCACTAAGAGCAAGTAATTTTTATATGAGTATCGATAATGTCGTAATAGAATTTACCAAAATGAAAATAAAATGAAATGAAATAGTTTCATCACCTGAGAAGCCGACCAAATAAGTTGCATATCCTTGAAGATTCTTTGACATGATTAAATAAATCATGTAAGATATAAACTCGAAACTTGCTTTCCATCATAGATTGTGGAGGTGCACGAACATACCTTCACAGCACTAAAATTTTCCTGCCAAGAGACCAACTACAAAGGCACCACTATGGTGCTAAAAATCTCTAACCGATCGAAGCGATTAAAGTCTGTCATGAGACATAGTCGAAATTCACCGAAAACACAACACCATTGATGTGATTACAACCTGAAGAAGGTGAGATAATTCTGAAATTACCAAAAAAATGGGTAAAAGGAAAACGATGGCTGAAACTAAACTTTGGCATAGTGAATAATTAATACACCTACTTATTATCCGCAGGCAATTATCCCCAACAATAATACAAAATTAAATTAAAGAGGTGGAGGTTAAAAAAGAAGTCTCTAGAAGGAAAAATAAATTTAAAAAGTTAATGAAAAAAGATAAAAGTAAAACTAAGAAACAATGATTTAAACTTAATTAAAGGCTATTGACGCAGCCAATAAAACCATTAGAAAATATTGTAATTAAATTTATTAAACTAATTAAAAATTTCTCGAATGCAATGCTAACTCTACGCGATTAGACTCTTGAAATTACGCCATGAACTACTCCGAATTGTTAAAGCATCTCCGTTAACGGCAATCCCGCCTGCGCAAGGCAACCGTTGCTAGAAATGAATCGTGTCCCATCGCCGGTTTGGATTGAACTAGTCGGGGGAAGAAGCATCTTTGATTTTATAGGAGTCATGAGGATGAAGTCTGTATTAGGAAATCCTGAAACCATATCAAAGACAAAAGGGAAACTAAACAAAAATAAATTTGAACATAGCAGTTGCCGTTGGAGATACTGTCGCTGTCGAGGCTGAGGGCGATCTTGGAATAAGTGATATGAGATGGTAACACAGGATGGAAGGTCCACCACGGGAGACCAAAGAGAGCAGTAAGCCTTCTCTACAGTACGCGAAGAATTCCAAATTCCCCCAAGCCTCTTTCTTTTCAAATGATCATAATAGATGAGACTAAACTCAACAAAAGTTAAAGCCGAAAGAAATTAAAACAAATGATATGATGCATTTTTGTGCAATAAGAAAAGGAAAGATATAGAACTAATATCCATTGAATCAATGTCGAGCTGCTGGCGAATAGAGATTGCTGGAGAT